TATATATATATATATATGATTCTGTGGTTGATTTGTGTCATTTTCGTAATTACCTCATCCAACTCCTTTTGAGTCTCCGCCTCCATTCGTCTGATGTCATCCATATTTAGCTGCACCCATTTGTCTATCCAGCAGAAGAGTTGGCGATGAAAGTTATTAAAGATCCTCTTCTCTTGCTGAAGGTGGAAGAAGTTAGGTCAGTTGAATGAATGAAAAAAAAAAACAAGATCAAGAGCCAAACTCTACTAACCACAGGAATGACACGCCACACTTACGTCATGGATGAAATTCTCCACCTTGGACTGCAGACCCCACCACTTGAACTTGACGGTGACAAGTTTGTAGGCACACATCCTTGGGCAGTCTGTGCTATTAACCAGCTCTTTCTGTGAGAACAGCAAATGACAGACAACACTGACAATACGCCCTGTGTACATGATGCAGCAGCAACAAAAATCAAAGAAAATATTACAAGCAGCTTTAACCAGATGTGCTCACCAACTAAAGGGAGTAATGATGGACCTGATGGCAATCTATAGTTAACAATGCAGCCACTTAAGGGGTACATACTGTGGAAGAAAAGAAAGAGAGAGAGAGAGAGAGACAGACAGACAGAAGACAGGTGGCTAATCAGAAATTTCAGGGATTTTTAAGGAAGTGAGGGCAGCTTTGAGAAGGATGAAGAGAGGAACCTCCAGGTGTTGGTCACACGTGGAGGTCTGGCCATGTTAAGGAGAGAGTGCAGTGGAATTATTAACCAGGTTGTTTAAAACAATTCTGTATATTGAGAGGATGCCTAACAGAACTGATGTTCTACAGAGAAATACAGTTGATGACAATGAAGGTATGGGAAATCACTGAGCAGCAGTTTGATTTTATGCCCAGAAAAAAAATTACAATTTTGCTTTGACAGTGCAGAGAAGGTCAGGAAGAACTGCACTGTCTTAGTAGATTTAGAGAAAACGTATGATAACACTATCAGTCACCATAGTTCCTAGGAAGGAACTGTTGGGCTGTATGAGGAAGGTTTTTCCGCTGGTAGTCATAAAGAGTATGTGGAAATTGTAATCATTAAAAAAAAATATACAACCCTAATACTTTATGTATGGAAGTTGCTAAAATTATTATGAATATTAAGATTTTGAAATGTTTGCACTGCTTTGCCTCCCTCTTAGGAAAAGGCAGTGGGGAAGCACAGCAAGTGGATAAACTCCATTTAAAGAACCAATTTCTCTGCTTACGCTGCGAAAGCAACACCTCTCCCAACAGGCATGTCTTTGTGGCCAAAGAAAGCAGATGAAACTGAGCTTAAACATGATAAGGGGCTTCTTAGTGCATTATTAGTGCAGAGGACCTGCACACCTTGAGCAGTTCACACACAAACATCATTTTCCCTGGGAGATCTGCTGTTTAATTAATCACTTAATTCCTGCTCTGCATTCTGAGTGTCACAGCACTGCCACAATCACCTCTCTACCCACTGTCGTTTGATTCTATGATCATGGTGGAGCGTGGGTGCAATAGAGAAGGAGGTGTGGGGGCTGAGAACCATTTCTAAATTTGCAGTGGGTTTAGAAAAGGAGGAACTTCACATATAACAGATTCCACATCAAAACATTCTACGGTGACATTTATTCTCTCCCCTTTTTCATTCCCCATGCTCAAAGGAGCTTTGAGTTGTTTTCAGAAATACAAAGGGGAAGTGATATACAAGCATGTGTGCATGCAGAGAAAGAACAGTTTCACTGCCCTAAGGAGCTGACAGATTGTGCTTCTGTTGTCATATACAGTGGGGGAAATAAGTATTTGGCCCCTTGCTAATTTTGCAGGTTTGCCCACTTACAAAGAATGCAAAGATCTATAATTTTAATCGTATGTGTATTCTAACAGTGAGAGACAGAAGCCCAAAAAGAATTCCAGAAATTCACATCATATGAATTTATAAAAATTGATAACCATCTGATGAGGAAAAACAAGTCAAGTGTAGCCTTATAATCTACACTGCTATACATCTAAACTCCACAGCATAGCATTTTCTTTTTGGTCACACTTTGTGTCCTTTACTAAAGTCTTTAAGGTTTTCATATTTTCAGCATTGGAGAAGCAACGTTCTGTTGTCATCTGGCCTTCTTGTGGCCATAGATGCCAGCCATAGATTACTTTTACACTGTGCTTCCCTGACTGATATTGCAGCCTCCACAAACACAGGTTGGGTGTTGAGATGGCATTTTAAGCTCTTATAAGAGTATACATAAACTCTTATATGCAGTCAGTGCAAATAATGTGTGAACTGCTTGTGTATTAAAACAACTAAAAGTGGATGGACAGTTGAATTATTGGATCTAACATCGCACACTTTCAAATTTTTAAATCTGGTTATTCTTCAGAAACTAAGGCAATTAAAAAGTTTTTAAAAAGATAGAGAAGGCCAACAATGCCTACTAAAACCCTTTATTGGACAAAATGTATAAATGTCTGAAGCAAATAGCCCATTCCTGTTTCCATCTGTTCCAGATTGCACTTGCACTAAAAACCTTAATCTTTATCTGCCTCAGGACCTAAAATGTCCATTACAGCCAATTAGAGCTGAGAAAGAGGTGATTTGTCTTCATCAAACTTCAGCTTCAACAGTAGTAATGACATTGCTCTAACCTTCTGATTATTACAGGGGATGGTGCTAGTTTTGATGTGAAAATATATCTACAAATTAGTCTATTAAAAATGTGAGCAATCCTGTACTTCCATACTCACATTTCCCTTTAACTAGCTGTCTAACATTGTCAACATAAAAAATAATTTTATAATTTCAGTACGCTAACACATTAAGAGAACTAGGGTCACAGCTTAGGATTTATTTGTTGTGCTTTTGACTTGTCGGATAGAGGCTGTTCTTCTAAGCGTTACAATCAATTTTATTAGATTTCTGTAGCAACGGTTTCATCACAATTATCTCCAAATTGAACCACAACAGAATTTGGGTAAACAGCTCTTCAAACAATTGCAATTAAGGCAGAATAATCTTAGGAGCAATAAATACAGACTCAACGAATAATTCAAAGCTTCAGACAAACAGTTGTAAAAATGGCAAAGCATTCCATGTACGGACTTATGCGTGTAATGCTAGCAACAAAGCTAGTAGACGTTACATTTACAGCAAGTTGTTTATACCTTGATAAACTTGTGCCCATTAAATGGTGACCTACCTTTAGCCAGTCTTATGGTCAAATTCTGACTTTTGTCATGAATGACTAAATTATTTGAATTTTAGGTGAACCTGGAATTAAGCAGTCTATGAGGAAACAACAACTTGGAAACGATTTGTTTTATTTGACAAAGGTAAAGGTAGGTATGGACACTGTTAATAAAAAGTGTTTTTTTATAATGTTAGGGAGTGTGAAGAAATATTTAAAAATAAAGTGATGATGGTTTGTGTAGGTTCTCAGTCACCCAGGTCATTTAATCCAATAATAATAATAATAATAATAATAATAATAAATAGTTACATCGAAAGCAACTGGACAAAGTAGGTTTTTGTTTTTTAAGATGATTCACATTTCATCCAAGAGGCTTCTTCAGTTCTTCAGAACATCCTTCATAGTTCTTCAGAACTTTGTCCAGGTGCTTTCTATGTAACTATTTTTTTAGATAAAGTGATGATGTCATGTTTAAATTAACGTACAACAACAAAATACCAGTTGTGTCTTATGTTCAATGAATTATGAACACTCAAGCACATTACAACGGACATCCTTCACAGTTTGTAATCCTTGGAAACCACAAATTGCATATCTGCTATAGTGCCCATTTATCTACAACATGGATTTGTAGCCATTTGTAGTCACACACTACCTTCCCAACACTAGGAAGGTCTAAGCCTGACCAAATGACTAAATCGCTCGTATAAAGAGCATGTTTTAGGTCAACCTAGTTTTGGTTATTCTTATTTAGGCTTTAAATTTTGCCCAAGAAAGTCTCCTGAATTAGTTGTATGAGAGCTGCTGTATATCAGGTTATTGTACTGATAACAAAAATGAAACAACTAGGGGAAAGTCAAGGCCACTACAGAAGATGTCAAGCAACATCTGTTCAAATGGACTAAAATTAAAGCCATTACCTTCCAGGTGGGCCCCAGAGGTCCTCTGCCTGTCTTAACAGACTTGAACTTGGCTGGATCTGCGTCTGGCTTGTAGTCCTATAGTCATAAGAATTGTATGTGATGAAAACAACACATGCAGGATGTCAGCTCTATTATAACAAAATGCAAGCGTTTGGGAACAACAGCAACTCAGCCACGAAGTGGTAGGCCACGTAAAGTGACGGAGAGGGGTCAGCGGATGCTGAAGCCCCTAGTGCAAAGAGGTCGCCGACTTTCTGCACAGTCAACTGCTACAGAGCTACAAACTTCGTGTGACCTTCAGATTAGCCCAAGTACAGTACGCAGAGAGCTTCATGGAATGGGTTTCCATGGCCGAGCAGCTGCAGCCAAGCCACACATCACCAAGTGCAATGCAAAGCGTTGGATGCAATGGTGTAAAGCACGCCGCCACTGGCCTCTAGAGCAGTGGAGACGCGTTCTCTGGAGTGATGAATCACGCTTTTCCATCTGGCAATCTGATGGACGAGTCTGGGTTTGGAGGTTGCCAGGAGAACGGTACATTTCAGACTGCATTGTGCCGACTGTGAAATTTGGTGGAGGAGGAATTATGGTGTGGGGTTGTTTTTCAGGAGCTGGGCTTGGCCCCTTAGTTCCAGTGAAAGGAACTTTGAATGCTTCAGGATACCAAAACATTTTGGACAATTCCATGCTCCCAACCTTGTGGGAACAGTTTGGAGCGGGCCCCTTCCTCTTCCAACATGACTGTGCACCAGTGCACAAAGCAAGGTCCATAAAGACATGGATGACAGAGTCTGGTGTGGATGAACTTGACTGGCCTGCACAGAGTCCTGACCTGAACCCGATAGAACACCTTTGGGATGAATTAGAGCGGAGACTGAGAGCCAGGCCTTCTCGACCAACATCAGTGTGTGACCTCACCAATGCGCTTTTGGAAGAATGGTCAAAAATTCCTATAAACACTCTACTCAACCTTGTGGACAGTCTTCCCAGAAGAGTTGAAGCTGTAATAGCTGCAAAAGGTGGACCGACATCATATTGAACTCTGGGTTAGGAATGGGATGGCACTTCAGTTCATAGTATGAGTCAAGGCAGGTGAGCGAATACTTTTGGTAATATAGTGTATATTCAGCTGACTCCAAACATCCAGTTTCTGTATCTATTTGAAATTTGAATGTTAATTCATGGGTATTCTAGAACAATACATTGTGGTGATTTAGCCAAAGTCCTTTATGATTTGCTTGAACAAATTTAACATAAAAATACAGGGAGTTTTAAAAAGGTTCTTTAGTCATTCATCAACAAAAAAAATATGTGCTTATGTTGGCATGGTTTGGTATTTGGCCACTGGATGCACAAAATGTTTTGTTTGTGTCTTGTGTAAAAAAAAAAAAAGGTTTCAGAAAAATGCAACAGAAACATGATTTTAGACTCTGAGTACTTGTGACTTGAAAGTAGGGATGCATCAATCCAACCTTATAAATCCAGAAACACAGCCCTGGGATTTGTATATCAGCCACTTACCAATACTGATCCGATACCGTTGTAGAATTAGTAAACTAACACGTTAACACCTAAAAACCTCAGCTATTTAGCTATTAAATCTATATTTGACCGGTCGTTAAATGCTGATATTGGATTGGTGCACCCATAATTAGAAGCATGGAGACTCGGATCCCATCATCTGGACTGAGTCTTTAACCCTTGTGTGGTGTTCGGGTCTGTGGGACCCATTTTCACTTTTTAATAAAAGTGAATATAATGATATAATTATTTAATTTTTCAAACTGAGACTCACTGGCTTTGGCTCATTTTCTGTGAAGAACATATATCAGAATACATATTTAATGACCACACACAATACACCCCCCCTACACATTTCTATTACATATAAGATGTTCGGGTCCCACACCCACACCCACCCACCCACACACCCAC